TTATCTCAAATTAATTTGTAAACATTTTCTTCAAAGTCATGTCTTTCAAGAATCCAACTATTCTGCAAAAAATTAAATAAATATATGGGATAAATAAGTAGAAGTAATCAGAAATTTAACATAAAAGATGCAAACTCTCATGTTATGCATTACTGTTCATTTTAATGTTACTACTAAAATAGGTTTAAAACAGAGTTACACATCTCTGCTTAAATTTATGTCCAATTAAGTCTGATTTGTATGAACCTGAAAATAGTTTGAAAAGCTAATTTGATAATATCCCCAACCTTTTTACAAAGTTGGAAAAAGAATTTTATGACTAAAAATTAGATACCAAGCATGCTTAAAATTGTCTGTGTAATTGCTAAAATTGAACACTAAACAAGATTATAATAATTTTTGCTATTATAATTAAAAATGATTTCATAGTTTTATTTCTCTCACCTGATATTACTTGCCATGTTTTTTTCTGAGTAGTAGCAAATTCGTACATATTGTCATTTTAATTCTTCTAGGAATTTTACTCATTCAAAATAATCTTGTCCACCCATTCTTCCATCCACCATACATACGCCTACACACACGTGCACACACACCCACACAGAGCAGTAGGAGGGTTTGATGTATAAAAGCAAAATTAAATAGTTATTATAGAAGTGGATTCGGCCTCAGATGTTTTTCTTAACCCTGAAATTGTAAGTGCGTTGTCACCTTCTTAAGGCTTATTTCTTGATCAATAAAATATGGGAAATAATATCTACTCCTAGGGTTTGAGTAAATGAGATAAATGACAGTAAGATATTTAGCATGGTGCATAAAGCTGAATAACCCTTCCATAAAATTTTTAATATGGTGAGGATAATAAAGCTGGAGATAATTGACAAAATTAAAAGTTGCATATGTGCCATTACTGTACCTAAAGGAAGAAAGATCGAGAATGACTTTATACCATTACTCAATAGCTGCATATGAAAGATTTTATATCCGAGAAGTTATTTAGCTAGGCATTTCCTTTCTCTATTAGATTAGGTGTCTTCCTAAACTTCAGTGACATCGAGTAATTAGCCTCTTAACAAACCATAATAATACCATAATTAAAGCTTAGTAAGAACAGTAATAATATACTAATTTGGATCTAGCCACACTGATTACATTCATTTTCTGATATTCCTACTCACTCTTAACTGTACTCTAAAATGAAAATATTTGAGTCGTGGTCTTTTTCATTATTAAACTTTGGTTTTCAGAAAATATTTTCAGGTTTTCTTTCTCTTTGGCATAAACTGTTAAGATCTAATACTTTTAACTCCTTAAATTGTATCATCTGGATACTTATTTCTGTTCTAAAATTTTGATTTTCTTTCAAACACACACCCATAATGGGAAAAAAAATGAATTTAGGATAGATTCTATCATACATTTATGAAGAAAGCTATGAATGACTGCAGAGTTTATAAGTAAATATTATTACTCCATTCCTCATATGAATTCATGCAGATATGAGTTGATAATAATGAAGTCAAACTTTTTTCTAGAGATATATTGATAAAGGAAACAGGACATACACATGGACACCTGTCAATGGCACAGATTACAGGTAATTAATTACATTTATATGTGTATTATGGAAAAAGAATGTTCAATGCCTTTTTCTAGTTTTTAGTAGCCACATTTTCAATGGATGAATATTGTCTTTGCATTTTCATAAGCTATTTTCAATGTGATTTCCAATAGAAAGTTACTCTCTCTCTCCATCATAAAAATGTATTAAAGTTATAGCACCTGATTTTTCAAGACAGAAAAGATGGGAAAAGCTAGCAATATTCAAATCTGTCAATAAAAACATATGTTTTAAATCTGTATTTTTTTGTCTAATTATATTACTAATAAATGTTGACAAAAATCCCCATAATATTTTATAGCTGTCACTTCCACTGACTTCCTCTTTTAAGTTGGGATTTTGCTTATTTTACTTGCATTTAAGTTGCAAATTAACCTAAAAGAACAGCTTATTTTCTCCACATAGCATCTGTTATAAAAGACTTAGTTGATGTAATTTGCTCCTACTGAATAGCAGTTCATTAATATCAGGATCTATCCCATTAGCTGAGCTTGGAGAATTAGACAGCCTAATCCCTGATCATCTCTTGGAAGATTCCTCCCTTTCTCCAAACCTGCTGAGCATTTCCTTCACTTTATCACTTTAATTCCCCTCCCAGCTCACTGCTTTCCCTCTGGCCCGGCTCCCTGTATCCTCATAATACTGAAGTTTATATGAGTACATCATTCTTGTTACTCCTTCTCTCTTTTTTCCTCATTAAAAGGAACTCCCATCTTTGAATCTCATGTCACCAGACTACACTATCCACCTTTCTCTGTTTAGCAGTTGTATCCCTCTTATTCCTATAAGATCGCCTCATTATCAGTCTCTCCTACATTCATATAGATCAGTATTTTTCAAATTATTATAACATATGGACACTGGCATAAAGTAAAACAAAAATTTCAAAGCAGTTTAAAAATACAAGCTGTAAATTTTATCATTAGATTCCATAGACAGAGTTAGCCTGTCACATTGCTGTAAAATTTCCTAAATATTTACTTTCAATTTCTGAATTTTTCTGTTCATGGGATAATAATTATTTGCAAATTAACTAGGTCTATGCTCTACATTTCAAGTAGTATTTATATAGATGAGTTTTCTGGTGCCCAAACTTCCATTTTTTCCCTCCTGTCCTCTACTGATATTGTCATCCTCAGCCTTACCCATTTATTCCAAAGTCATGTTCCATAGCTCTTATAGTGTCATCTGCAACTCCTTCATAATCTAATGGAGATGTCTTCATCCAACCTTTGATTATCACTTTCTAGATTTCCACCTCTCTCACAAGTAACCTGATGACAGCAATTCTTTGTCTCAATTGAGATTAAAAACTCAGCAATCCCTTCTCCCTTTCTACTGTCCTTGTGACCCTCTTTATTTGACAGAAATTCCTTGGATCCTATGTTCACTTTCTTGCACACACCCCAGCCCAAGTCCCTTTATCAGACTTCCTTCAGGTTTGACAAAATACCAATTCTGGTTAAGTTCAATTATAACCACACTCCACTAAAAATGGTTGAAGCAAAGTATTTACAAACCCATATCACCTAAAATTGGTGAACACTTATCTCAAGTGGGCCTTAATAATGCCTGGGGTTCTCAATAATCCAGGAAATATAGGATGCTTATAGATGATTGATGACAGTTTCTTCTTTTTCTTCAAACCCATAATACTCCTCATCCATTCTTTTTTCCTTGGGTGGTGTCTTTGCCTCCATTACTGTGAAAATAGAAATGAAAAGAATTCCCACTCCCCTGCCAGTACATAGCTGTTTACGTCTGGACCTCTGTTTTTGTTCCTGTTGATATTCTCAACACACTAAAATGAGTGAGCTTAACACCTGAAAACCTCCCAATAATTTACTGTCTCATTTGGTGTAGCTTCCAGAGGACCACCATGGTGCCCTAAACCATGGATCTCACTCACCGCCACCTCTCTAAATCATTGTCCACTGCACATGCTCTGGTTAAGCCATACTGTTCCCCTTGCTGCTGCTCATAAACGCTGGCACTCTTCTGTCTCATTGCATTTATTCCTGAAGTGACTTCTGCCCCACATGATTTTTCCTAGATAGACCATATGCTTATATCCTCATCTTCATGTTATTGCTTACTTTTCATTTCCTCAGAAAGTCCTTTTCCAACCATCCTAATTAAAATGGTAAGTGCCTCACCATACTCCATGTTTCCTTCCTCTGCTTTGTGTTTTCCATAACATCATCTTTTACTTTAAACACAGGCACATATACATGAGCCATACAATACATATAATGATATTCTCTTTTGTGGGAAGAGGTTGCTGGGGATTAAACTTAGAGGCACTCAACCACTGAGCCACATTCCCAGGCCTATTTTGTATTTTCTCTAGAGACAGGGTCTCACTAAGTTACTCAGTGCCTCACCATTGCTAAGGGTGGCTTTGAACTTGCGATCCTCCTGTCTCAGCCTCCCTAGTCACTGGGATTTCAGGCATGTGCCAATGCACCCAGTGATATTCTTGATTCTCATTTGTCTTCTTTTACTACTAAGTTCTAAGGGGCAATGACTTTTCCCTGTGTTTTCTGAATTTATCAGCTTTCTGGCAGTGGCATATAGTAGGCACTCTATAAATATGTCCAGAGTTGAAGAATTTCTATTTGAAGTTGATAAAAAATTTAACCAGAGAAATTTCCAGTCTGTCTCATTCTGTCAGATTCATATAATGTCCCAAACTTCCATTGCAATAAGGAAACATGAAAGTCTCTTGTGACATATTTCTGTGCAATTAACATGTATCCTAACTAATAGGCTGCGGTGGCCTCAAGTATTTCTTTTTATATTTCTTTCCTTTCCAGCTCCTCATAACATACACATAACCTTTAAGGGGAGCCAAGAGTGCTAGAGAATATTTCTAGAGCTACATGTTGTTATCATAGGAACCTGTCTCTTTGTTCCTGGAATGGTATATAGAGTAGATATAGAAGAGAAAAACCATACATATTAATGTCTTCACATGACACATGCCAGTCCTTCTTCCTTTTCTTGATTTTGACATGTTTTAGGATTTATTAAGAAACACAAGAATGACTATTTTAATTATTTTACTTATTTCAGTCTACTAATTCCTATCTCTAATTTTTATCTAGGCATCTCTTTACATTTACACAATCTTCATACACACATACATATTATTCTTTTTCCTCCCTCTTTCTCAATTATTGCCATTTTTCAGTTTTAGGATAAACTCACTAAAAGGTGTAGAGAAGGCAGCAGGGAGCCCTGTCTCTTGAGAGTGAGAATGTGCACTGTGTTCTGTTATTCAGGTGAACCAGATCTGAGTTAGGAATGCTGCACCACTTTGTCCCTGACAATGAGGCAGCCATGGTGGTTGGTTCTACTGCTGTTATAAGAACACTTTGGGGGTTTATAAAATTTTTCTTATACCCTGGTTGAAGGTGTAATTATCTCACAAATGGATTCTACACTCTATCTAACCTTTCCCTCACACACTCAGGAATAATACAAAGTGTGGGCAGATTAATGTTTCCTCAAATTCATTGTCTTTCCCTGTTCACAAAATATCACATTTAGACTTCCAAGGCTGGTATACCTATCACACATTTCACACTTAAGCTATCTTCCCTGTCACTTCTGTGATTTCCATTATTATACATTTCGTTTTTCTCCAAAGAGGCCCTGATTCCTTCACTTTGGCATGTTTTCCTCATATATTCTCTTTTCCAAGTCTCTAATTCTGGGCTAAATTGAATCTACTCCTGTTATAAACACTTCCCTGAATTTCTAGACAAATTCACAAGCAGCAGTTTAGAACAAAATATCACATCTGAGTTGAACAAAAGATATGTTTAGATTTAATGAATGAGATACCAAATTTCAGAAAGGTAATTTCTGGATCCATAAATTTTGATCCAAGTTAGGTACCATCTTCTGTATTATAGTAATTTAATTGTTTTAATAGAAAGCCTTCTCTTTTTAATAAAATTTACTTTGACATAGATTATTGAGTTGAAAAGTGTGTGTGATATTCTATTTAACTCTGTTAACTGTGTTTATGGGGCACATAAATGTTGCATGGGCTCAACCATCCATCTGGTGGCCACTTGCTTTATTGAACTTTAATCTCCAAGAGGAAATAAAGCTGTCTTGGTTTATTGGGTTTATATGGAGAGAGACAGCAAGTACTGTGTATGATAGCACCATTAACTCTGAATGTTTGTAAAGATCTTATCTGGCATTATGTGGTAGAAATAACTGTTGGCTTGAGTTGAAGATAAAGTATAACACTTTTTCTATAGAAAGGATTGTAGCTCTGGATAACAGCATTAGTCTTGCAGGCCAATAAAATGTATATTTGATATACCAATTTTAAAACATTTATGGTGTTCCTCTTGAATTCCCACACTATTTTGTGGTACATGAGATGTAACACAAGCTTACAGAGTGACACTGTAGCAGTTGCATGATATAACGTTATTGGTTTTAATTAGAAGTTTCTCTTAGCAATAAGGCTGATGGAGCAATAAAAATGTCCTAATTTCCCTTGAGAGAAATTTGTAGGAGACAATCTTCAAATGCCCAGTAATTCCACTCTACATTTTCTAAATGGCAAGCGAATCATGAAAGGTCATCTTGCTTTCAGACTGATTACGCTGCTTATTTTAATTTTAATCTCTGCCTCCACTTGAAGTTACCTATGAAATTAATATAGAAATTTTCATTAAATCTACAGAACATTTTATTTCCCTGACCTTTTCCTGTAAGGAAAGTCTTATAAATTATTTAACAATGGCAAAAGATTTGGGAATCAGAAGTAACAAACATCCACTTATTTTGCTATCTTTATTGCATAATTAAATTTAAGCAAGTAGGCTCTTGTATTTTTTTCCTTTTTACAAAGGACAATTTTAATATTTATATTCATAATAAGAAAAAATCTGAAAATTTATAGTTTTACTCCATATTGTCCACAAAGGACACATAAATGAGATTACAGTTTAGATTTTTCCAAAGCTGGTGATACATGAGATTTGAGTGATTTCAAGGATCTAGAAGTGCCAAAAAATGCTCAAAAGCCTAGAATGTACACCTTTTCCTTTGTATTACTAAAATTTGGAGTAAATGTTAAAAATGTATGTCAGTGACTCAACTGGTCATATTAATCAAGTTTTACTTTTAGAAAGTGGTTATGTTGGGCCCCTTAGAGATACCCCTCTTTTTTTTTTTTTTTTTTTTTACTTTTAGCTTACAAGTTTCCTTTCTATATTCAGAGCATAGCAAAAGTCATTTGTAACTGCAAATGGGGATATAGGATCATTAGGTATGTCCCACATATGGGTGTTAGCTAGTATGAGAGTAGAATCATTTTACACATAAAAAGTTGTATTATTAGAAATTGCATATTTTGAACTTTTAATAGTTTTATTAATTGTTTATTTCAAATTGAGAAATGTTACTTGCCTGACAATGTTTTATTTTGAACAGTCATTAAGGCAATTTTGGATAAATGGCTTGTTTACATTTTTTGTGTCTAAAACATTCTGAATTTGACTTAAAATTTGCCCTAAAACTGTCTTCCCATTGGGACATCTACCATGAGACTAAAGGAACTCTTTAAATCTCATAAGCTACTGAATTTAGAATGTATTTCCCTTTGTTAGACACAAAAATCCACCAGATCATTTGGAATATCCACAGTAAATGAATTTAGTTGTACAATTGGGTAAGAAATAATGAAGCAAACAGTTAATATCTATTAGTGCTATAATGGATCTGAATTTGCCCACCAGCAAACACTGGAAAACTTGCCCAAGGATTAGAGTTTTAAAGTAGTAGATATTTAACCCCTAAAAATGTTATATTTCAGATGACCTTATGCACTGTGCAGTAGTAGTAATAATAATTCTTCCATTTATAATTTTTAATGGTATCTATTTGGTATAAAACATTTGAATACCGTATAAATACATTGATGAGGAGTAACTAATTGGTATGGTCTACTTACTTAATAAAAATAATCTTAGTATTCTATTTTTTGTCAAAATTCAAAGTATTTTAAAATAATTGCCTGAAAATACAGTAGGAACCCCTTGACATTCCTTCCTCAGCTAATTTATGGATGCATTTGTTAGCTTATTTTCCACATGTCTCCTGATTCCCTACAATATAGAAAGTTGGATGACTCTGGATGGCAAGACCAAAATTAAGTACTCTATTTGCTGAATGCATTTTCTTGTCAAAGTAATATGTCCTTTCCCTCCCATGAGGAAGATCTTTGGATTTTCCCATGAACTTGATGTGTCTTTTTTTTTTTAAGTTATGTTTCATTTTTGTTTGTTTGTGTTTATGCTTCTCTTGTTTCTATTGCAGTTTGGCCTTGGTATTACCAACCTACAGTTTTTACTATATAAAAGCCAAAATAGAAGAGACAATAACTCAGGCCAGATGTAAGTACTGTGAAAGCCACGTCAGGGTCTATTTGTTATCTCCTAGTCTCAGATGTTTAAATACGTCTAGATTTTGGAATACCCAAGGCTTATATATTTTAGTAGGTGTTATTACCAAATCTACAGCAATGATTCTAACCCATTCCAAACATGCAAGGAACAAGAAATATTCTACATGGATAGAATATGAGCAGGTACTCCAGTCTCACTGGCAGTCCCCACCACCCTTCCCTGCCTTGCTATGTGCTCATAGAATCATTGCAGTGCTGTGTCCTCTGTTGCTGTCGTTTTAAGGGTCTGCTAGCTGGTGTACAATGTTTCACATGCTAATTATCAACATGGTCTCTACTCATGGCTCTGTGCTAGTAAAGCTTTTCCTTTTCTTATCTTTCCTTTCACTTATTTTTTCTGTTGCCTTTGGCTAGAATAATATTGTGCTTGGCAATTAACTTTCTTTCCATAATCCAAATTAATGTCTCAGTAACTCAAACCGATTTTTTTTTTAATGAGCATCATTTGGAATGTGGAGTAATTATGAACACTAGTGCATATTTCCAGTCATTGTTCATCTTTGTTTGGGGTGACTAGATTTAGTAAAGTAAAATGACCATCATATCCTTTGCATACTGTTCATTCATTATTAACACCCTAAATTTTTTTCTGTTAGGATTAAGAAAAAATATGTATATACATTATATTTTGTACATCTGGCTTGAGAATAAACTAAAGTTTCCTTCATTTCTGTATTGGATCTGTTTTTTTAACCTCTACAGGCCTGGTGTTCATAGAATATTGTGGTATATTATAAATTTATATTTGCACTTTCACTTAATAGATATGATGGTCTTTTAACAACCAGCAGTTTTGCATGAGCTAGTCCTTCACTTGACAAATGAGGGATAACTAGGGATTCCTTGATGATTGGTAAGTGCTTCCATTAATAGGCTGATATCTTGGGTATTTGCACCTGCATTAACCACTTTGCAAAACAGACCCTTGAAATAACCACAGTACAGAAAGGGTAATCTAGTAAAATTACCAGGACATACCTTCCAGCCTTCAAAAATGTCTTTTTTTTCCAGACTACAGCTGTACATAAATGAACCTTTGATCTATGCACAATATTTTTATTCAAGAAAGTCATTGAATAAAATATTGTTTGTGACCCCCTTTGCTTTACCCTCTTTTTTTTTTTGTTTCCCTGCTTTCTCTTTCTGATGGATTTTCACAGCAAAAAAGGGCAAAATGAAGGGCAAGTATTTTCTTGTTGCTCAGTTTCTTTCTCTTAAGTACACTTGACATTTCCACTGATATTTTCATTCCTATTGGATATTATCCTCTGTGCTTCTCATTTGCTAGATTCTCCTCCACAGTCACTCAAACCTTAGCAGCAAAAATGGGGAAGAATATGCTTGCGTTTTTCATATGCAACCTGTCTCATGTTCAAGTTTTTTTCTTAAAATTAAAATTGTGTTTTTTATCCTTCCACTTACTAATTAATACCTAAAATGAATAATGTTATTAATTGAATAAATACATTAAGTTTATTAAAATCATTTTGTATCATAATGTTGGTAATCTTTTTTTATTGCTATTTGAAATAAAATACTTAATGTAACATTGATCTGAAGTTTTCTTTAAAAGATATTTGATTGTACTGTGGCTAGTGAATGGGAAAAATGTAGACTGAATTTTATCTGGTATATCTGTTGTAATCAGGTAGTTAAGTAAATCCATGATATGGCATTATTACTATATTGGGAAGCATTAAGGACCTTTATGGTTTTTAATTTGTTTCACCTTTTGGATGTAAGTAGTCTGTTTTTATTTTTTTAATTTTTCTTACTAGGTAATCTTTCTAATGCATTCTTATTGTCATAGAATCTTGGAATGGGTACTTATTGTTTATTTAATCTGTGACATTATCTTTGCAGATTCCGAAACCCTGAAGCCAGATAACTTTGAAGAATCTGGCTATACATTCATAGCACCAAGGTTGGTTTGGGGCTTTTCATGTTTTGTTTTCCTTTTTTATAGCTTTTTGGTTGGGTAAGTCCTTTAACAGATATTCTAAATTGGAGTCAAAATTACTTTGGGTTAATCTTATGTCAAATTATGAAACCTAAGACAATGACTTTTTAAAACTGTACAATATCCTGGTTATCCATTCATTTATTCATTCAGATACTTACTGAACAATTGCTATGTATAATTCAAGCACACAATGGTGAATAGGATAGATGTAGACTTTGCTCTTATGGAACTAAAAATACACCAAATAGTAGTGGAGAATTATGTATTGATGCATTTGCACTTTTGAATATATACATTGTATATGCACACATATTTATACACATATGCAAAAATATGACATATATATTTATCTCACATACATATGCATACATAAGTATACATAGATATGTGCAAATACAGATGTGTATTTATACACAAACATTTGGAAAGTTTGAAACTCATAATTGATTTTTGTTTAACACAGATTTCTGGGGAACTACTTTAATATTGTGACATTGCCTCACATGATTATCCACATGAACTTTTTTCTCCTATTCAATTTTAATTTTCTCTTATAATCTCCTTTCTTTATCCCTAATATGTAGCTTTTATTCCTACCTCTCTTTTCTATGATTATTTGAAACTATGCAATAATCCATGAGTATTCTTTTTTTCTTAGCTTTTGACTCCTACTCTATAGCACACACATACAGCATTCTCATTAGTGTAGGATAAAGTATTAAATAGATGTCAAGGTTTGTATTATTGATTTTTCAGACATCTTGAAGAAATTATTCTAAGAACCCCAAAGGGCTCATAAAAATTGTTCTCAGTGATTACTCTTTTATTTTTATGTAAGAAAATTTCTGAATTCTGATTCTACTTGAAATAGGGAGTAAATGTAACATTTTAAAAAATTGGCAGTTAAAAAGCTTGCTCAGTAATTTCTCAAAAAATTCCACCATTTGACCCAGTTATCCCACTCCTCAGCATATATCCAAAAAAATTTAAATCAGCATGTTATAGAGACATAACCACATCAATGTTTATAGCATCACAATTCACAATAGCTAAGCTATTGAACAAACTTAGATGCCCATCTACAGATGAATGGATAAATAAATTGTAGTATATACACACAATGGAATATTACTCAGTCCTAAATAAGAGTGACTTTATGACATTTGCCAGTAAATAGATAGATCTGGACAATACCAGGCTAAATGAAATAAGCCAATCCCCAACAATCCAAAGGTTGAAATTTTTGCTGATATGTGGAAGCTAAACCATAATAAAAGGGGAAAGATGAAGGACAGAAGTTCATTAAATTAGACAAAGGGGAATGAAAGCCAAAGAGGGATAGGAATAGGAAAGAGAACAGAATAAATCTAACATATTTTCCTATGAACATATGTGACTATACCTAAGTATACCCCACCATCATGCCCAGGGTCCTAATTAGAATACGTTATATCCTATGCTTCTATAATTTTATCAAGATGGATTCTAATGTCATGTATAACTAAGAAGAACAAAAAAAATAAAATAAAATTGAAAAAAATAAAAGGGAAAAAAATACTTGGAATGTTACCTTCTGCCTTCTCTTCCTCCTCTTTCTTGATGTCACACTGCTCTGGTTCTCTTACTCCCTCTCTGGCTCCTCTGCTGACCACTCACATGAGGTTGCTGCAAAGGATACTTGCCTAGGTTCTCTTATTTGAATCTGCCTTCACACCACAAGCTACCATGTTTGCCTGCAGTGTAGGGTGATGGCTCCCAAATCTAACATAATGGCCACAATGTCTAGAAGCAAAAGTAGACATCATGAGCAGTTTATTGACATTACGTCACAACACAGAATCACATGTATCCCTATTCAGACTTTGTCTACCTTACATATTTCAGTATGAGATAGTCATATCTCATGAAAACCTGCAGGAATATTTGTTGATTATGCTTCAAATTCCATGCCTTGTAAATATCTCTCCTCTTTGGAGGCTCTTCTCTGTGTATTGTGTCATGAAGGAAATACCACCCTCCCAAATGGCAGTCTTGAAACTGTGTGTTGCCCTCAACTGCTCCCTTGCCCTTAGATCCAAGGGCTCAGCACTCACCACACTGTGCCACTTTTACCTCATGAGCATCACATGCACCTGTCACTGTCACCTGTTTTGCATTGTTCAGGTACTGCTTTTTTTGCCCCTAAGATACTCCAGCCCCCTCCAACTTCTCCATACATTTACACATCCACTTTGCTTCCCAGTCCTGTCCTTATTCTGAGACTATTTTAAAATATGAATAGTATTTTTTACATCAACTTAATACTAACCAGTTGCTGTATATTGCCCTCATGACAGTCTGTACTTTATATCATAACTTCCAAGTGCTCTGTTACCAGGTCTCATTGTACCAATGTGGTCACCAGCCTCTAAATCAGGGGCTTTCAGACCATCTGCTTGTTTTATGCAGTGAGCTCTATTGGAGCACTAGAACATGTGCTTGATTTTTTATATTGTCTCTGACGGTCTTTGCTACAGAGGCAGAGTCGAGCAGTCCCGGCACAGACGTTAAGGCCCACAGAGCCTGAATCACTTACTCCGTGACCCTTTGAGAAACAGTTTGCCTGTCCCTGCTCTAAATTCTAGACACACTAAACTTCTCCCAGTTCCTAAATCCACTGTTTTTATTGTCAATGTTGGTGCTTTTCTTTGCCATCTTCCACTTACTTTCTTTTCTGTTTTCTACAGTACGTACTCTATCACCCCACTCTAAACCTCAGCCTCAAAGCTTCTTAATCAAGGAATTTCCTTTCCATCTCCATTAGATCATGCATCCCTGCTGACTGCTTTAGTTCCCTTATCAAAGCACTGACCACATTTCATTTTATTGACTTTCCTTGATAGAGCCACGAATATGTCTATTTGAATTACCATCCAGTGCCCAATATCAAATCCATTGCCTGGCATGCTATAGATGGTAAATAAATATATGAAGAATATTTTTTAAATCATATGATTAACCATAATCCCTGGAATTTTATTAGCAGTTTTCACACACAAGTACCTTTGGACAACTTTCACTTTGTTATTTCAAATAACTTAAAGCTACTAAAACCAGTTTCAACTAGAAAGAATAATATTCTCAGTGTTCTCCTTTATATTCCAAATATTAAGGATGACATTAGCTAGAAAAGAGGAATTTTCAAATAAACATTAACATAGCAAAAATGTAAGAAGAGATTAAAATTAGCCCTAGTGTGTTGACCAAATTCTCTCTGCATCTCAGATCTGTTATCTCTGGAAGCTTCTTCAATTCTCTCTGCTACTGAATAGCAGACTGATTTTCTCAGTTTCATCCTAAGACAGTCAGAAAAGACAATAAAAATCCAGGTGCACACAAAGAGGATGAATACATCTCTCAATTCCAATTTCTAATTCTTAGGCAATGGATTTTGTTTAGTCCAAAGAAATTAGCATATGGACTATTTCTGTGGCCTAAGTAATATTTGATACAATACAGCAACTTCAATTTGCTTAAATTGAATTCATGTGTGTGTTTGGGAGAGCAGCCTGAATATGGAAGAATTGTAGCTTTTAGGACAAATCAATGAGTGTTCACCTCAATATATGCTAAACGCTGTTTTGAACAGAATATTTCCTGTTCTGTAATAATAACTCTATAATAAATGAGTATTATGATCCCATTTCACAGATCAGGAAACACTTTTAGATATGTTAAATAAGATGAGATTTGACCCAATTTTCTTGGCACTCCAAGCTATTATATGTACATTGAAGATGTAAATGCAAAGGGATCTCAAAAGAACACCCAGTACAATTTTTGTAGGGAAGAGTTCTTGGAAAAGTGAATATCGAATATATACTCAAAGTGATATAAAATTGGAGTTTAGGAAATAAAACTAAGAATAGAGATATTTGTGTGGCTGTTGTAAAGTTTTTTCTGATGCTATATTTAATGAGAAACAATAGGGCAAGCTTTAGAGCAAGACTGTACATATATGAGTCTGCTTTTCAGGTGTTCATTTTTGTGGCTATTACTCAAATCCTCTATACCTTAGTTTTTTAATTTGCAAAATAATACCTACCTTATAGAGTTCTTATTACTTTAAATAAGATAATGCCTAGAAAGTATTTATCATAGCTCTTAATAAGATATGAACTCTAAATAAGTATTAGTTATCTTTAAAGTTGTAGTAGGAGGTATTAGTAGCTGTATGAGGAATATTATTTAATAAAGGCTGTTTAAAAAGTGTTTTAAAATAGCTGGCAAATTTGAGCATAAACCATTTTTGTTAATTTCTAAATGAATTATTGGATTCTGATTAATAGACAATGGCTTCAGTTTCATTCAATTTTAAAACTACTATGAAAGGAAAACACTGAGAATGTAAATGCATGGAGCAAGATTCCAATCTTTAAGAGGCATGCAGTCATAACTTTGCAGAGGTGACCCACCACTGGCAGAGCCAGAACAAAGCAGCAGTCCCTACTCAGAATTCTTTTCTTGTCTGAGAGGATTCCAGGCAAGACTGGAGACTTGAGAAAAGAATAGCAAACTTTATTAGAAGGGATGGAAAAAGTGACTTAGGGAGAGAGTGGGTCCTTTGAAAGGAAAGGAGGGCCTGAACCTGCTGCCCTCCAGTATTATTGGGGGATGCCAAGGAGGATTCCAGAGAGTCCCACTCAGGTCCACTTCTAGATTTTTGATTGACAGCAAGACTGCATCAAACTTCTAAGTCCCTACTGTGCATGGAAAATATCCAGTGCAACTCTAAGTCACTTTGGCGCATGCTGACTAGTTCTAACTGAAATCTATACTTACAGATTTTATGATTAAGGGAATTATTCTGATCTCCCTGAGTTTTAGCACTCAGGGAGTGAGTGGTCTGTGGATTGGTCACAAAATTGATAGGATAACCTTGTTCTTCTTATTAGCATTTCAAGCCTGGGGATAACAGGTTGTTTGCTGAGCAATGTAATATATCCTAGTGGCTTAATCCAGGCAGGGCTGCAGGTAAATTTCTTTTTAAATAAAGCATCCAGAGGTCAGCCCAGTGGGGTCACATTATAGACTTCTTCCCTTAAATACATGTTGCACTGCACACATCTGTCTACTACCTATCAAGAGAGCATGCAAAGTCTAAAACATGGATTAATTTTACTATTTTCTTGGATAAGCAGAAATAAGCAGGAGTTAGGATGAGAAAGAAATAGCAATATGTGGTAGCCTATAGTTAACTGCTAAATTATGATGTATGACCTACATTATACATATTCTTGAGCAGAAAGTAAAAAAAAAACTCCCTTTGGATATTCTAGAAATAATTTGCCAATTTTTTGGAATATAATAGAATTTATTGAAAAATAGGAAAAGAACAAGGACACACTAATAGTAGACTTTCGCTAATTTGCCAAATTTCTAACACCATAGTTCTTTCAAAGTTCCTTCAGGTTTGTGGTTAGTTTCAAAGCCATTTACATTACAAATCCCATTAATCAGAATTACAAAATGACCAAAAGACATAGCTTTCTGGCCTTGATGGAATTTTAAGCAAATTGAAGTTTTATTTTTTACCTTTATAGTTATCTGAACATTTCTCCATCTTATCGCCTCATCTACACTAAGGAATTTTCTTCCTGAGAGAAATTAATAATGATCAATGTGCACAAAATTGATTTCTTCTTTTCAAGAAACATTGTCATATAGAATGTGTATTAGGAAGGTCTTTGCATGTTTCTGGAGGGAAATGGCTTGGCTGTTTTGTTAACCACAGTTATTGCCACCCAAGGTCACAGCATGGCTCCTTTGGGACCAGAACTTAAGAAAGGATGATTGATACTTTTTGAGTTTTCAAGCTCCCAGCCTTGTGGGGAACAGTCATTAGGCTCACTAACCAACAATAGTGCTGGCTGTCTAGTCACACATTCTATGTCTCAAATAACTTCAGTCAGGCGCTCTGTGGTGTGTGATTCTCTGTTGTCCTCTGGATCATTCTTACAGGGGAACTCATGCCACCCGCTTCCCTTATATAAATTATTCCTACTTTGTTTCTATTTTGATTCAATAATTCTCTATTGGTAGTTTCAACATGTCCATAGCATTGCACAACTAAACATCAAAAGGTAGATAATATGTTTAGACTAGTTTAAAATTGAGCACAGCTGAGCCTGCAAGAATTTAAAAAAAAAAAATTATCTAAGTAGAGTGGTCACAACACGAAAAAACCTTCTATGGATAGAGGTCAAAGATGCTTTTGGCTTCCAGTTTTGTGGCAATAAAAGTTCACAAAGTGAAAATTCTAAGCTTATTTCGTGAAGGAAACACACTAGTTAGGGATCTGAAGATAGGCTTCTCCTCAGAAGGGATATGATATTAAGTGCCTTTGCAGAAATTTCTTTACCTCTTTGAATCTATTTCTTCACCTTTAAAATGTTACATATTTTTTGATAAGGTTATTTCCAGATTAAGTGAACAAAATAATTTTAGAAATGGCTTGCAAATAAAAGTAGTATTCCAGAAATGGTTTTATTAAAAAATATTTACAACATTTTGTTTAGCCCTTCTTAAACTTTGCCACCAACTTCTAATTCTGTAAGATCATAATTCACTGTATTAGTCTTTTGATTTACAGGCTGGTGTTATTTCTAAAATAGCATAGCATTATGGGAAGAAGTCAAATTTAGCTCTCTCAGTATCTCAGAGTTCAAGTCATGTAAAAACACTTTTTTTTTTTTTTGAGATTGAGTTTTGCCAAGTTGCCAACCCTGCCCTCCAGCTCAGAATCCTCTTGCCTCAGCCTCCCTTAGTACCTTTGACCACAGATGTGTGCCACCACACCTGGCTATACTTTCTAAACCTTGCCTCTTTTTGTAAACCAAGAATGTTGCATTGTTGTTGAAGTTCAAACAGTTTGTCTGTTCTGCTTTATTTTCTGAGGTTTTGCATTTGAAGATGTTTTCTATTTATTCGTATTTTATATTGAATATTTGATTATTTTGTTGGATGTATTAACCTACAAAATTATCATTGTTGAGCTTTTTGTGTGTGTTTATGTTGTCTTATGTTTATTCTAAATTTCCAAATCATTTCAAACTGCAGTTATCAAATTAGGGTTTGCAGGACCCTATGGGTTCCAGAGGGTACATGTTATTTTCATAATGATATTAAATGTTGTTTGCCTTCTTCCTTGTATTGATATTGATACTTGTGCCAACAGTGCAAAAGCAACAGTAAACACCATACCTAAATGTGAAACAAGCCAGTCACTATGAGCACTGGTAGCATTCGTAAGGCCCCAGGTGCAGCAGCTGCATGAGGGCAAAAGCCAATCTTCCTTTAAAATACACACAATTGAAGCACTAAGAATCATTTAGTTTATAAAAGTTTTCCCCTATAAAAAGGGACAATTTTCTGTATTTTATCATTCTATTTGATAAAGCTAAAAGTATTTCAACATCTGAGAATAGTTTGGATGCCTCAAAGAAGAGCACTTATCTGTTGTTTGAATTGGGAGATGAGCTAAGTGCTTTTTGCCTTTTTAAAAAATGAAATGTTTACCTGAAAAAAACGGCAGACATTTTTCAAAAGTGAATTAGTGAGACTTTTACCTTGAGGAAAACAAGTAAACATATTTGTTGCCAATGACAAAATCCAGGCTTTCAAGCAAAAAAAAAAAGAAAAAGAAAAAAGAAATATCAGAATTTTGGGAAAGCTGTGTCCATGAGAGCAAGATGACAATTTCCCAATACAGACCTAACTGGTGACATCAGTGGTGATATTAATGGATGCAAATTTTCAATATTATATAATGAAATGTGTCATCACTTGGAATTTCTACACAACTTATATTTTCTAAATAATCAATTTATGATGCTAGAAAATAATGGATGCATAAGAGATTGATTCAAATGCAAGATAGAGGATCAAAATTTTATTTGTGACAACATAGCTTCTTCATATATCAAAACAAAATCTTGCAGTTTTTCAAATGCAGAGAATACTTGTCTGCATTAATCTCCAATTAAGTTAGGAATTAAAGATACAAATATTTAAAACTTGCCACTATTTTACAATTTTTAAATATAATAACTTCTCATTATAGTCTTACTATATAAAGAATTTATTAATATTTTAATGGACATTTAGATTTCTGTTTTAATTTCTAGATGAGAACTGTAAAACCTTCAATATGCAATAGTTTATTTAATAAAACAAAACCTGGATTTTTATAATCTCACCACTTATTGACAAACTATTCTGTTATGGAGATGAGGAAATAGAGGTAACAAGGCTTACAAAGTCATGCATCTAGTAAAAAGGGGGAAAAATATTGCTTCTGCTACCTGTAATTACCCTGTAAAGTTTTGATTTTGATACCTAATATTCTAAAATATATTTTTTCAGAGATTATTGCATTGACCTTAAACCATCTGATAACAACACTGAATTTCTTTTAAATTTCAATGAGTTTATTGATCGAAAAACTCCAAACAACCCATCATGTAAGTATATATTAATTTGTAGTAATTGCTTAAGTGTAGTTTTTTTTAACTAGAGTGGTTAAATCATGGTTTATATTGAACATTATGATAATCGTATTAGTTTATTGGTGTACTCATTTACTTATATACTCTATGAATTTTTTTTATGGTAAAGTTAACTATTTGATCCCTCTCCCTTCTTTCCTTTGTTTCCTCCTACTCCCTTCTCTCCCCCTCTCTCTATATCTAAACAAAGCACTTTATCACTTATCAAAGTGAAAACCCCATTTTCTTAAAGCTGTCTCTAAATTTATCACATACAAGCAGAAATGACTTCCTAGTGCCTCCATAGCTCAGATTTGCAAATGACTTCTAGGAACCACTCTAAAAACATATCCTGGGCACCTGAGGTCACCACTGATCCTACCTTAACAAGATGATTCCAAACCTTTCTTCTCAGTGAAAGCTCACTTTATTGAACCACAGCCTTCTCATGTTATTTTATGTCATTCCCTATCAACAAGTAATAAGCATGCCCAAAAGAGAACTGAAATAAGGTTGTTTAATAGTACTTGAATTGAATACCAAAATTAATGTAATACTTTCATGTGAAATGACAAATTTATCATAAATGTTTATCTTAACTTGTAATCTTCAGAACATCATGAAAATTGGAATCACTCTCTTTTTCTACTGCACTACTTAGGGAAGTGCAGATATGTTATTAAAAATGCTTTCTGTATGATCCATAGTGTTTTTGTCTTTTCTTCAGTCTCTTCCTTTTATCTGCCTCCCTTACAACCAAATAGAAAATATTTGAGATAAATATATATATAGTGAAGAACAGAAAAAAGTATAGGATTTTTTTAATTCTAGAAAAGAGATCATATTTGTGAACTTATATTTTTTAAATGTTTTTTTCTTTTTTTATCAAATAACATTAAACTTGAAAAGTAGATATCAGCCATTGAAATCTGTGATCAAAATAGATTTTTCTTTGTAAAAGTACCTGTACTTGGTCCACTAGTGAAATTACAATTCTTCCTAAAGTCTAAATGAATTTACTAACTTACCTAAATGTTTATTATATAGATTTATTGTTGTCCTCATATCCTTCCTCCTTCTCCTTTAACTATTGTTTATGAGAAACTAAGTGTATAAAAATGTAAAGGGTAATGCTGATAATTTATATATTGTATTTAACCAGCTTCAGAAAACATATTTCAAGACACTTGGGGCACAGTGAAATGATGAGCAAAATTATAAAATTGCTTATAACCTTGATTTATATTACAAATTAGAATAATAGTCTCATTTGTTTTACCTAAAAGAATTGGAGACAATTAAAATACACGATTTAATTTCCAAGTGGGCTATTTTTAAAAGTAATGCAGTTTCTAAAATAATGTAAGAGAGCTCCTAGAATAAGTTGAAATTTAGTCAAAAATATGAATTAAATTGATCCTCCAATCCCATATGAAAGAAAAATTAAACTAATTAAAATGTTTCCAGCCTATTAAACTTCTTACAGTAATTGGATATTAACTAATACCATACATTACTTATTTGAATAAAATGAGATTGTAAAATAAATGGGAAATTTTAGAGAGGGTATCTTAGATTGTTTCAGAGCTTCATGGGCTTAGAGTAGAGGAGCAAGCAGAACAGGAAGACAGTAACACTGTTTAATTAACCTTCAGTCCTGTGCATCTATTCCCTTCTTTATCTTGAATTTGCGTTGATATGCTCTTTGGGTACACAGAAAGGACAACCTGCATCCTGTGCTATTGAACCAACACAGTAGGTTCCAGAACCCAGTCTCAGAGGAGAGCTGATCTATGATGGCCATTTTGTTCCTTGCTGTGCTCCAAAACAAAAAAGGATGTTTATTGAATTTTTCATAAAGTCAAATTTATTCCATGATTTTCTTTTGTTCCTAATTAAAATACATTTTATTACAAAAATAAATGAAAATGAAAGCAGAAAGTAATTTTTGTTTAATATTTGTACTTGATGATTTCAGAATTACCAATCCTATCAGATATCTGTATATCTAAATCTACACACACACACACACACACACACACACACACACACAGTTATGTACAAAAAAATAAGATTTATTAAAATTTTCTATGAACCTTTTTTTTTTAGTTTGGAACCACCATGCTAATCTACAGAACCAAACTAAAAGCAAAGAAGGAAGTCTCTTTTCCTCATCATTTGTCAACATGGTATATTTTAAGTGTCCCTTTGATTTAAAAAAATATCTTAAGTCAAGATAATGCTGATTTTACAAAAGTTTTTTTTTTTTCTTTCGGAATTGACTTTTCTACTGCTAATTCCAGCCATATCTCAAAAAATATGGCAAAACTAATATGGAATATCATTTTTAAATTCATGGAAATATTCAGTCTAAATTGCTTTTGAAAACAGAAAATATATTTGTTTTAGTGTTGTACTCGTTAAAAAAACAATGTGGGTATAATTGAATATATCATTTTTCTATTAGGTAATACAGATTTGATTAATAGAGTCTTACTGGATGCAGGCTTTACAAATGAACTTGTCCAAAATTACTGGAGCAAGCAGAAAAATATGTAAGTATTTGTTTTTATTAATTTTGCTTCTTCCTTCGAATATTTTGGACAATAGGTCTCAAAAAATTCAAGTTTATTTTTTGTCCTTAAAAATAATTTCTCAAGAAAAGCATTTCACAACTGTTGACAACCTGCTTTCTCAGGTGGGTGTATTTCAGTATTAATATCTGCTATTACTCAGCTTTATACTTCAGTGTGAATAATCAAATTAATTGGCATGTTTGTATGCTTCTGTGTTTTTAATGAAACAGGATTTCTAGTGAATATTTAGTTGGCTTTCTAATAGTGTCTCCCATATATCCAGTCTAGAAAATGAGAAATCTGATTAAGATTCTCATTCATAATCTCCCCACCCTATTTCTACTCAATTGCTAAGTGCTGAATCTTTCTAACAAAGTTTTCCTCTTTTCCTCATAAAAATGGGATCTTAGGACCTTAAGAAATTTCAGCAACTGATTTTTCTGTGTTTCATGCTCCCCATGCCTCCAACCACAGCTCCCAGTCTATTCTTCATACAATACACACCTGCCAGAATCATACTTCGAAAACGAAGTTCTAATTTGAAGATAATGATGGAGTTCTCTAGCTTGGACTTCAAAATTATTCATGAGCTCATCATTCCTTAGAATGAGATGACTTCTTTAAACATACCCCTTTAAGTACTTACTTCAGAGATTCTTCAATTATTATGTTTCAATTATTGAAACATAGTTTTGCAATTATGTTTACCTTGACTTCTTTTAAGAACTTGCTTTATTTCTTTTTGTGTCACCCACACCTAACATAATATCTTTGATTAAATTTAATAAAACATTTCCTTCTTTTAATCTTCTGTTCCAGCAAGGGAGTGAAAGCTCGGTTTGTTGTGACTGATGGTGGGATTACCAGAGTTTATCCCAAAGAGTAAGTTCAAATAACATCTGTAAAAATAAGTACCTTACAAAGGATTGTGCCAAGACTATATAAGGAAGCCTTCTTGAGAGCAACTGATCATTTTCGTAGATCAAATTAGAGTCATTGTTTAATGTGCTTATATTATTATAGTATCCCATTTATTTGAAAAAAGATATCATAGGATCCTTCAATGGTACTGTTGCTAGTCATATGTATTTATTACAAAATTCATTAGTGGTTGAAGGAGACTTTTTGTAGACACAAGCCCAACTATTAAGCGAGCAAATGATGATAACTTGTCAGCAACAGTGGTGTAGCTTTTCAATGTTTCATTTTTCTTTAATGCATTCAATTTCTGTTTATCTTAAGAGTAGTTCCTTCAGTACCCTGAGTAGTCACCAAGGCTATTAATATTAATTAACTTATTAACTGACTTATCCATAATTTCATACAAGCAAATAGCAGGCTTAAATTAGGATTCAGCTTTTTCTGATTCTTCATATAATGACATGCTGATATATTGCTTATAATGAGTATCCATTACATTATCCACTAACTTCCCTATACACACCTAAGGGATAGATGTATGTATAAAGTTCAGTATTTCCACAAAGGGAGAGTAGGTTATCTGGGACTTTAAAGAGTACAAATGATGAGCCATTTCCTCCTTAGGGCTGGAGAAAATTGGCAAGAAAATCCTGAGACATATGAGGACAGCTTCTACAAAAGGAGCCTTGATAATGATAACTATGTTTTCACTGCTCCCTACTTTAACAGTAAGTATTGCTTTGGAACTCAGTTTTCTCAATTATGTTTTTTAAAGCAAATTATTGTTACTACCTTCTCTTCCCCAGTCAATATATTTTATGTTAACTGCTCAGAATAGTCATTATTAAGCCACAGCATATGCAAAGCATTAGGAAAATAGAAAAGAAACATCCATTTAGTTTAAGAGGTAAAATGCATGCATAGCAAAGTAATGTAGAATAGCATATCTAGCAGGCAGCTTAATAAATAGAAACATATGTAGTTCATCCTTCATGTCAGAGCTGAAAATATGTGAAAGAATGTTTAATAAATTAAATAGTTGATTAATTGCATTTTATCAGTATTAATTACATAAGGTAGCATTTATAAAAATAATAGCTCATCTTTTAAACTATTTTATCAGGTTCTTTACAAAAAAAAAAAAGACTTTCTAATTTAATTCTCCTGAGCTCTGTCTGAGCATAGGTATTTTTTACTCCTGTATTTACAAGTGTCAAAACTGAAGTTTAGAGAATTTCAGTTTGGTCCAAGAGTTTTTAAAAGGCAAAGTAGTGTTATGAATCCAAAGTCATTCTTTCTACTCCAATTTAGCAGCCTACCCAATATTTTTGCAGATGTCATAAAGCATAGATTTGGTGTTCATCTTTTTTTTCAGTTTTATTTATTTATTTATTTATTATAATTGATTTTATTTTTTTAAATACATGACAGCAGAATGCATTACAATTCTTATTATTCATATGCAGCACAATTTTTCATGTTTGTATATAAAGTATGTTCATGCCAATTCATGTCTTTATGCATGTACTTTTGGTTTTTTATTTTTTTTATTTTTGCATTACAATTCTTATTGCACATATATACCACAAGTTTTCATATCTCTGTTTGTATCTAAAGTATGTTGACACCCAATTCGTGTCTTCATACACATACGTTAGATAATGATGTCCATCACATTCCACCATCCTTGCTGATCCCCTGCCCCCTCCCTTTCCCTCCCACCCCTCTTCCCTATCTAGAATTCATCTATTCCTCCCATGCTCCCCCTCCCTACCTCACTGTGAGTCAGCCTACTCATATCAGAGAAAACATTTGGCATTTGTTTTTTTGGTATTGGCTAACTTCACTTAGCATTATCTTCTCCAACACCCCCCATTTACCTGCAAATTCCATGATTTTATTCTCTTTTATTGTTGAGTAAAATTCCATTGTGTATATATGCCACATTTTTTTTATCCATCCATCCATCTAGCTTGGCTCCACCGTAGCTATTGTGAATTGTGCTGCTATAAACATTGATGTGACTGTGTTTGTGTTCATCTTTTGCACTGTGAAATAAGATAAAATCAAATTGAGTAATTCATGCTCCTAAATCAATAGATATCAATTCATGGACTTCCAGTTAACCCAGTATATAAAGGAAGATGAGAGAAAGAAGAGATGACATGCCTCTTATAGATTTTATATGCAAGATTTTTTTTTTCTTTTTAGCACCTGTGGTTGAACTCAGGGATGCTCAACCACTGAGCCACATCTCCAGTCCTTTTTTTATTTTTAATTTTGAGACAGGGTCTCCCTAAGTTGTTTAGGACTTTATTATATTGTGGACACTAGCTTTGAAATTGTGATCCATCTGCCTTAGCCTCCTGGGGCTGCTGGGATTACAGGTGTGTGCCACCATGCTTGGCTATGTGCTAGAATTTTTAAGAAAAACACTATATTTTATCCATTGAAGAAATCAGTTTTATGATTTATCTAGATTGGTCTGATTTTTATTTTTTAGAAAGTGGACCAGGTGCATATGAATCAGGCATTATGGTAAGCAAAGCTGTGGAAATCTCTATCCAAGGAAAACTTCTTAAACCTGCGGGTAAGCATATAAGTACATATAAACATGACCAGAATTAAAAACATATAGTTAAATATAAAATTGGAGATAAAATTAACTTGATAGTATAAAAAGTTGAAGAATTTTCAAAGTGGATATGTTAATATACTTAAGTTTATGCAATCACTTTAGTGTAATGTATCACATTTAGTGTGATATATCAGAATTTCAAATACAAAATATTAAATCTAGAATTGATCTTGTGACCCTATCATGCTCTCCTACTTTCAATACACACAATATTATGTGGCCAAGATTGTAAATATTTTTAATAATTTAAACTTAAAGCATTAGGTTTGTATCACTGGGGGAAAAGATACATCATAGGTAACCTATACCCTAGATTACTATATATCTGAAAAAGAAAGATAGGGCTCTATTGCATGTACAATAAAATGTGGAAAATGACTTTTGGTAAAATAATTGAACAAAGAAAAACATTGTAAAACTTAGGATCAATGAGAATTGGAAGTGGACAAATGCAATACTATCTTTTTTTTATTTTTTCACTATGGGATTCAGTATTGTTTGAAGTTTAGAAAGAGCATATATTAAAATTGGGTCAGATGGAAGTAGGGAAATTGTTTTGATATTACTGAGGGTGATTCTACTTCATGAATTCACTCCTTCCCACATTCTCTCATTCACTTCTTCCTTCCTTAATTCCTTCAGTTATTCTCTTAGCAACTGGTTCACTTGCCCATGTGCTCACTTATCTACCCACTCTATCAATAAGTATTTCCTAAGCACCAATCACATGTACTGATAGGATTAGGGCAGCCTCTTAAAATATACTGCTTGAATGACTTCATGTTGATGAAGTTATCCCTGACACTCCTTTTTTTAGCTTATAGTATTAATTAATTGGCCAGATTCTGGTTGTCAAATAAAACTGTTTTATGAATATTAATTACAGTTTATGGAATAATTTGAGAGCTATTTACATTATTTATTAATAAAGACGCTAAGAAATACATCTTTATAAGAATATTATATTTCAAACCATCATTTATTTGCTATTGTATAAAATATCAAAAGTGCTAGTATACCTAATTATCACTTTAAATTAATTAAAATTATTTTTTCAGTTGTTGGAATCAAAATTGATGTAAATTCTTGGATAGAGAATTTCACCAAAACCTCAATCAGGGATCCGGTAAGATAATTTTTTTAAAAAAAAATTTATGTTATACTTAATATTGTAAAAATTCAACCTAGAAAAAATACCATCATACAATGACAAAATATTTTTTAGTGACACTATATTAAAATAGAAATATTTATTCCTATTTTTGAAGCTTTTTGTTTAAATTAATAAATAAAAAGGTAGTTCAAATTTATGACTTGAAATGCTACTATATATTTTGATTGATATTTCTTATGCTAAAACTTTCTCTTATGAACTAGACTATTATTTTATTCTAGATAAATCATTCCAAAACTCTAATTATAACAATCATAATTAATACTAATTAATGTTACTTAATATACTTGAAATCAACTTTTTCAAAAAGTGTGAAATGATAATTGTATCTCTGTCTTTCAGTGTGCTGGTCCAGTTTGTGACTGCAAAAGAAACAGTGATGTAAGTAAACTCTTTAAAAATATATTTAACTACAGTAGGTTATTGTGTTACTCTTGCTCACTGAGACTTTAAAGATAAAAAGGGGTATATGAATTTTTAATCTTATGCTAAAAAGATTCTGTGGAAATGTGAAATAGGTATGAATGGAAATAGGTATGAATGGAAATAGGTATGAATTTGAATTTATGTGCTTTCGATTCCTAATTTTGTTTTATATTTTTCTTATTTGGCAGTGCTTAGTATTAAAGCCAGGGCTTTATATATGCTAGGCAAGAGCCCTATCACTGAGAGAGAAGAACTAATTTCTAGCCATAAATGCCTTTTAAAATATTCATGTAGTATGGGTAGATTAAAAAAAATATATTAGATTCTTTTTCCATACTTGTCTTTAGCTGTATTTCTGGATGGGTAATTTCTAACCAAAGCAATCTTTTGGTTCCCAATGTAGTCTTCACTCATCTTCTGCACTTTCTTTTTATTTGTTCACACTGTTATATAGTAATGGAAAACATTTTTTAACTAAACTTAAAAATAATTATATAGTTTATAGTTACATAGTTTATTTCAAAATTTTGTTTACAAGTATTGGATTATTTTGTATTACTCTCATTTCTCTTTGAGAAATTAAAAAAGAAAATGTGGATTAACTGTTCAAAAATTGAAGAGGCTGCAAATATAATACTTGATAATGGCAAGGATTATAAAGGATGACAAATCCCACAATTTTCTTCTGTCTTTTTATGTGAAATGTCCAAGAGAAACAGGGGTATCATTTCTACATCTGCAATATTACAAGCCAGTAATCTTAATTGTTTTTCTAGCTTTCTCATTTTTTAGACTATTTAGCAGGTGTTTTTTAAAGCAAAGGTTTTAACAAGGTACTTCCACATTAGGGAAATGTATTATGTTCCCAAATGGTAAGCAATGTGTTTTTATTTATTAAAAGTTATTGATTTTCTCTGGGCCCAGTGATGCAAGCCTATAATCCTAGTGGTGCTGGAAGGTAAGGTAGGAGGATCAAAAGTTCAAAGCCAGCCTCAGAAACTTAGCAAGGCCCTGTTTTCAAATAAAAAATGGCAAGGTCTGGGGATATTTCTCAGTGGTTAAGCATCTCTGAATTCAGTCCTTATATATTTAAAAAATTAAAAAAATACAAAATACAAAAATATGCAATATAAACACACACACACACACACACACACACACATTTTCTTATTTTTAAACTGGGTGGTAACTTTTCCTACATTTAAGGGTGAACTTTTTTTTAACTCAGCCATAAGGATTTTGTTTTCATCTTTTAATCTATAATTATCCAACCAAACATTTTTAATACAAAAATATAAAATAGTTATAATCCCTTGATTGATTTTTCCTTTTTAATCTGTGAAGTATATTTATGGTTTTTGTCAGTTTTTTCAGTTTTCTGTGACCAAAAACTTTTCTGACAAGAAAATTTAGAGAAGGAAAAAGTTTATTTAGGGTTCACAGCTTCAGAGGTCTCAATCCATGGACAGTTTGCTCCATTCCTTGAGGCCTGAGATTAGGCCGAACATTATTTCTGAAGAGTGGGGTGAAGGAATGTGGCTCAGGATATCACACCAGGAAGCAGACAGTGAGCTTTCCTCACCACAGACAAAATATAAACCCCAAAGGCATGGCCCAATCCACCCAGTTCCTCCAGCCACACTACCTGCTTACAATTACCAAATTAATCCCTATTGGGAGATTAATGCACTGATTAAGACTCTCATAATGCAATCATTGCACCTCAAAACTTTCTTTTGCTGTTTGTTTCACACATAAATTTTAGGGGGAACCTAATAGCTAAATTGTAACAGGAACTGGTTTATAAATATTTTTTCTTCTAATAATACTAAATATATATTTAAAATGATGAAACAGTGACATATCATCAAATATTTTTGTCCAATTTCCTGGATCATTTATATGACTTATGTGATAAAGATTAATTGGATATTTGGTGGAATGGATATCAAGCCCTTGTGATTTAATATCAATATATGCTTTCCTATAATTTTATCAGAATTTCCTATACATATATGCTAAAGAAAAATAGCTGATTTTTCCCTATTTTTGTTGTTCTGATCATTAACAAATAATGGAATAATGATAGTGTAGTCTTTAACTCTTCCTATAGTGTGTTGACTATTATTTTTATTTTGATAGGTAATGGATTGTGTGATTCTAGATGATGGTGGGTTTCTTTTGATGGCAAATCATGATGAATATACTAATCAGGTATGTAACTCAAGAAGGAGGTACGGGTTTCTAATGCGTATTTCGGTGATCAACATTACAGAACCACTACAAACAGTGTATATAAATTTATACATTATTTTATTCATGCCACATAAATTTTCAAGTGATTAATATAATGTAAACTATCATACATACATGCTAAATGTAGCTTTTCTTTGTTTTCTAATCACTTTTACTTTTTGTCACCAATAGTTATCATTAAAGACTTTAACATGATATGGACTTATTTTCAACTTTAAAAATTTAAAAAGTTATTGCATATTAAATATTTATCAGTTGATAGCATCTACCTTAATATGTGACTAGTTGGACACTAGTTTCTAGTTTCAAATTTACAAATTGGCATAATATAGGCTATTAGGCTCACCCAAGAAATTCTCATTTTGAATCTGTGTTTCTTGTGTGCAAGCACTCGCGCGTTCTCTCTCTCTCTCTCTCTCTCTCTCTCTCTCTCTCTCTCTCTCTCTCTCTATCAAAAGATATCTCTACACTGGACTATTTATTGAATAACAGTTGTTTCTTTGTTAGACCTAAATAGCTAAAGATTGTCCCTTTAAGTGAGTCTCCCCACAGCTCACCACATCTCTTTTATATGCTACTTATCATTTCCTGGAAGGCATTTGCTTTGTGTTTCATTGTATTTATTTAACATATACAACAAGATGCTTTGATACATGATTATTACTACAGTCAATTCAATTAACAATCTGACATAATTATCCTTTTTGGGAGGTGGGAAGAACACCTAAAATCACATTTCCAGTATATAACACAATATTATTAACTGCAGTCTTCACTTGCACATTAAATCTCTAGGCCTTTTTAACCTGTATAACTGCAACTCTGAGCCAACTGACCCACATCTCCTGGTTTCCCATGACCAATGCCATTTTACTCACTTAGGATGCATTTTACTGTGACATCGATGTGTAATAATCTGTGCCCATTTGACCCACAAATAAAATAAACTGAGTAATGAGAATACTTAATCTCATTTGGTTCTTTTCACGTTGCCACATGCAGGTTTCTCATTTGCTCTTGTTTCTAAGCCCTTGTTTTGGTTCACAATTTCTTAGTTGTATTTCTTTTCACTGTATTGATTCAGCTGTTCATGTTTGGCTTAAATTTGAAACTTTGTTATTTTTTTCTTTATCAGATTGGACGATTTTTTGGAGAGATTGATCCAAGTTTGATGAGACACCTGGTTAATATATCAGTTTATGCTTTTAACAAATCTTACGATTATCAGTCAGTATGTGAGCCTGGTGCTGCACCAAAGCAGGGAGCAGGACATCGCTCCGCATATGTGGTCAGTATCATCCATGGGTGAATTAATTTAATGGGACATTCAAGCATAGATCAGCATAATGACATTTTTATTATTTTTATAGCCATCAATAGCAGACATATTACAAATTGGCTGGTGGGCCACTGCTGCTGCCTGGTAAGTCAGATTTTTAGTTTTAGTAGTAAAGAAAAAAGTTGTTTTAAAATAGTAAAATATTTGATGAAATTATGAATTTTGTGACAGGTAAATTATAGTAATTTTTCATTTCCCATAATACATACTGAAAATATTTATAAAGAGTTGTTCTTAAATGATCATAAGAAATTCACAATTAATTTCTTTACATGAAAACAATGTTATGATCAGTGAAACCTCACCTTCTCTAGAGACCTTTTTCTCTGTGATTCTGAATTCAGCATATTTTTCCTTGTTTTATACTTACTATGAAAGTTATTATTTATTTTCTTTAACATCCAAATTAGATATCTGCATTGATCCAATGTGTAACATGATGACACTTTTCTACTTTTTTATTATTATTACAGAAATTGACAGTTTTAGAGTCATCATGTTGCTGAAATGAATTCAGTTTTCTTCCCACTGATTCATTTCTCCTACCTCCCACTCCTACCTCTGTCCTGTTACCTATGGAAAAGAGTTGTTTAAACTGTCTATGGAGACACTGTGAGAAATCTGGAAAGTCACATTTCTTGTTCTTTTTTCCTAACCAGACAATCACTGAACTACGTCTTGTGTCTAGGACTTATTATTTCGTCCTCCCTTTTTTTCTTTTTTTTTTAACTTTTAAAAAAATTTTTATATTGTCACCCTACTATATATTCTTTTCCTTATTCCATGTAGATGAATCTGTACAATTCATTTGATATTGAGGTTTTTCCAGTTAAAATTAAATGATCATATCATTCTATTAAAGTGGTAAAGGATATTTTAGATAAAAACACTCCTTTTTTCCCCAAGAATGATATTTCTGGGTATGTTGATAATATTTGTATAGTAAGAATGTTTTCTATATCTTGTAGTGATTCAAAATACTTTATCATATTTTTTGGCTCAAGTCTACCCTGCCTTTTCTAAATGATTCTGTTCCAGATGATTCTGTACAAGATTTGGATCAATTGTCTTTTATAATGAAGCTGAAATGTGCCATATGCTCTTGTATAATTTATATACAAATTATTTCATGAATATCACATTATATATCACAAATATATTCTTTATCACAAATAGCTCACAAGCCCAATTCTGTGGAATAAAAACAAGGCCATTTTTGTTTCAACATTGTTTTAAAAGCCAAACAGAAAATCCTGTACATAAAAACCTGAAATACTGACATTCTCCTTGTTAGAGTTACCAGTCCTGTATAATAGTACTGCATATTCAGCTCCTTTCACACATTTATGTCTCAAACTTGGCTTCAGACACCTCTATCTTCATGACTTCATGATTTTTAAAAGTTTCAGTATTTTATATAATCTAAGATATACTTATATGAGAATGCGCCAATCTTTTTTCAATGAACAAACTCCTAAAATTTTCTCAAATCAATAAGAAGGAAATATGTACTTACATGCATGTATACTTGCAAAAATACTCGTATTTATTATAAAATTTATAGTAATTATTCATTTTAAAAATCCAGGTCTATTCTCCAGCAGTTTCTCTTGAGTTTGACTTTCCCACGGCTCCTGGAGGCAGGTATGTAAATGATCAGATATTAATAACTATCAAAATTTCTTTTTAGATGTGCTGAATTTAGTAAGCTCCAAGAGAAAATGTTTGTTTGTGAGAAAAAGATCATGCATTTGACATTTTGGCAGATTGAAGTTTTCATCAACAATTCCCTAGTTCACGTTGGCCTCTATTTGGCAATACATTTATTTTATGAATACTTATTGGGTACCTTTTACAGGCTGTGAGGATAAACAGGTCAATTGAAGCTTGTGGCCTTCCACATTAATTTTGCCCTGTGAGAAATGACTCTGGGGACTGACTAGTGTCCCCTCATGGTGGTATCTTTTTTCTTTTTTTAAATATTTTTCATTAGAGTTTTATTGTTTTACATAGTAGTTGGGTTCATCCTGACAAATATGATCTTTGTTTTGATTCCCACAGTTGAGATGGAGGATGACGACTTTACTGCCTCCCTATCAAAGCAGAGCTGCATAACAGAACAAACCCAGTATTTCTTTGATAACGACAGTAAATCATTCAGTGGTGTATTGGATTGTGGAAACTGTTCCAGGTATTTTGTTCCTTGATTTCACTAAGAAATTGCATTCACTTTCATAATAATTACGGAAAAGAATGGACTGTCATTGGAGTTAGACGTGTCATTATTTTAAACTGAAATGTCAGTCATTATAAGCTTCAAAATTTATAAATTTTAAAATTCTAAATATTACAAGTTGTAATTATATGATTAGGATAATTGGCTTTATTGTAGGCAGAACAGAAAATTTTAAATTTCATTTTAAAAATCCATATTTAAAATCTTCTAACATAGAGAAAGTTAAAGAATTATATTAACTCTAATATAATTAACTTAAATTATATCAGTAGTTATAAGCCAAACATGGTTTCTTTTCACATAAGGTAACTACACAGGTTTTCAAAACCACAGTCTGGGGTTTTTCTTTGCTTTGTTTTTACCTCTGGTTATCTCTGACATGAAGAATTGAATATTATCTTTGACTTGAAACTGAAGGAAATAGGGATAAAATATCATTTCATAAGGTCATGGTTAATGTTAGTATTTATAAAACATCTTTAAAATCTTTTGGAAGAGATGGAAAATGTAATTGGTTATAATGGGAAAGAGAAGAAGGCAAGAGGAAGACTTTAGAAGGTTTGAAGGGAAAGTCATAATCCATGCCACAGGATTCCTGAGAACTCAGCAGCAAGTCACAGCTTTCATAGCACAGAGTTGGGACACTTTACTTTTAGAGACAGAATGCAAGTTACTACAGAAGAAATGTTAACAGAGGGTAGAGAAATATGAGGAGGCAAGGAAATCTGAGATCATGTAAAGGCTGAAATAGTTAGTTGCTAGGGGATTTGGAAAGGCAGTCTATAACAGTTGAAGTATTTTTTTTTTCTTTTAAAGAAGGGGTTATCATGAATTTTAATAAACATGGTTAGTGTGTTTTATGACTTAATTTTGAAAACAACTATGTCCAAGAAGGAGGTAGAGGGTATGAATAGGAGAGGAATAGGGAGAAGTCAAACATGAAATAAAAAAAGCAGATCAACTTGTTTGGAGCACTGTAAGCCATTAACTGCAAGGAAATGGACTTGTAGCAAGTGACATGTGGACATCAGAGTTTAGGGTCTTTGGACCTGTCATTAACTGATTAACTGAGGTCCAATAATAACAATGCATACCTCACAAACTAAGTTAATCCATAAGGTTTCTCTCTCTCTCTCTCTCTCTCTCTCTCTCTCTCTCTCT